AGGTTGGACTAGATGATCTCTAAGGTCCCTTCCAGCCTAGGCCATTCTATGATTCTATGATTTTTGTACCATTTCTGAAAGTTTTTGAAAGCACTTGTGGAAGTTCTGATGTATTGCACGGGGGTTAGTTGGAGCATTTCAATTAGGAAGAAGTCAGTAGCACTTAATGCGGCTCCCTGTTCTTCTCTTTATTAGTTATTCAGCATGATAGGTTTCCAAAATGGAGGCAATTTTCAAAATGTGAAACATGAGTGTAGGCAAAGTCTTTGAGAAATGATGGACAACTTATTAGACAAAGCTAAAAGAAAATCTGTTTGTGGTAAAAGAAAAACTCAGCCCATCAAAGTTTTAAACTAAAAATAGTTTATTTCTATAGGTGCTGAATCAAAAATGCATATTCTGTGCTTAAATCTTAAAGAATTATTTAAAATGAGCAGCTTATAATAAAAGAATGTGGTGGTTTTTTTAATAAGTATGTTGTTATAACATTTTCTTTTTTATTTTCTCTATAGCAATACAGGTTATACAGTTGTATCCTATCTGTTATAGGATTTATGAGTTTCCCTCTCAGTTCATTCTGGCAAGTCCATAGACATTGGGGCAGAAAATATTTACAGAAAAACATGTCAGTTTAAGGCCATCATACTCTAGTCATCTTAATTTTATATGCATAGTGCTCTAAATTACTTGCAGTGTCCTGAGAAGGGGTAGAAAGCGCCAGCACGAATGAAAACAGCTGTATGCAAAAGGATATTCGACTAAATAGTTGGAGTTTTGTCTGTTTATAGTTTCTCAGCCTTGACATTTAGGGACTTGGAAATTTTCCCTTATCAAACCTGGGAGATTTTTTGGCATTTTCTGTGAAGTCTCAGAGGTTTTGGAATACAGTTACTTGAATCTCTGGCCACAGGATGCCAGTGTTGAACTACATTACTTGGGTGAGAGTTAAAAAAAAAATATTCTCTTTAAGGTAGACTGGGTAGATGTGGGGATTTTTCTGTCAGCTGTGACAACAAAGGTGAATCTTCTAGCTTTTCAAATAACACAAAGTTCTCCTAGAAAGAACGCCTTTGCCTGGGTAATAGCGATGGATGGACACGGGTACCGGCTCAGAGGGTAAAGCAGTGTGTGCCAGCCAGTGGGTGAAACAGCTTGTTTATTTTGCAATTATTATTCCCAAAATAACAACAGCAGTGACAGAAATGCTGATGGCTCTGGTGTGGAGCAGTGTGGAGATTTACTTGTTAAATATTTTTTTTAATATTATTTTTTTTTCTCGGAAGAAGCAATAAACCTTCTGTGTGGAGTCATTAAACTGGCATTATTTTGTGAGTGTTAAGGGAGCTCTATTGTATAGCCCGAGAGCATTTTCCGAAAGTGTTGAACGAGGATAAATTCACTTAAGGTACCTCTGTGAGATATGGAAAGGTCACTGGGCAGCAGCAAGCCAAATTTTCTAACCTTGAAACAATGCGCATTTAGGTGTTTATGGGCGTCAAAGAGGAGTTCCAGACACGAGGTGAAGGACAACACCAAAAAATGGGATTGTCATTTAAGAGGCAGACTTTTGCCGGATTAATGTGATACCTTTGGGAGAATGCAATGAATCCATTCTCCTTGGACTTCAAGCCAGCATTTCGTGTAGGACCACAGCACGAGTCAAAGCCTGTTAGTCTGAACATGGCACCGTGTGAACAGGACTGTTCCCGGGCTGCTCCATCTGCACAGCTCAGCTCATGAAGAGTGGCTGTGGGGGCTCTCTTTACCCGTTTGCAAAGTCACCTTGTTGGGAAACTCGTGTTTCGGAGATGAGAGGTGACCGCTGCTCATAAACCCAGTGTGGAAGATGTGTTGTTTAAATAAAGGATGGCACTGGTGCAGAGACACACGGGTACAGACAAGCCCCGTGTAAGATCAGGCTGGATGTGCACAATAGGTTTTGTAAGGGTCAGAGCAGAGGGGTGCTGAGCAGCCAGAATGAGTATTGGGATAAAAGACGCAGCCTGAAGTTGAATAAATTTAAATTTCAGACTGGTTACAGTAGCGGAGTCCTCCAATAGATTACCCAAGAAATCCTTCTTTGAGCCTGAACGTCTTTGTTGTGTATGTTCTGACTGTCCTTAATGGCATTTACATTGCCCATTCTCCTTACGAAATTACTGTATAGAACAAAAGGTAACTTCACAGTTTGTGGGGTCAATAGGGTCTGGGTGGTATTTTGCAGTGAGACTAACATTTTATTCTTTCCTCTTCCAAAGAAATTTTGCCGCAGCACCAGATGTGCTGAGACAAATCATTTTCAGCTAGTACAGGCTTCATTTGACCTCTACTTTCCTGCTTTTTTGTAGAACTAATGTGAAAATGAAAAAAAATCAAGCCTAGCAAATCCTACGAAGCAGATCAACGTGTAAAAGGATGCAGCACCAGCATGAGAATGCTTGTATTTAGGCTTCCTGCATTGAAAACCCAACCTTAGACTCATATTTAAAACATCTATTTCTTTACAGTAGATTGAATTGTGAGGAGCTTAAAAGTTGAATCCTGCTTTTTTCTCACCCTGAGCCCATGCTGGAGAAGATATGTTTCTATAACAAAATGTCTCTTTCAGGGTTATTTGCTAACATTGGAGGACGACACTTGCTCGTTCAGGACATAGTATTATGTGCTCAGTTTGCTTCTCTTTGTCGAGTTTGTGATGTTGGGATCTGCAGGAAATCATTTCAGTGTTTTGCTGTCGCAGATTTCATGTCCGGTCTTACACATATGCAGTAAATTGCTGCTTCCTTTCCTCATGGAAGTTTTAGGGGGTGCGTATGGAGATACCACGTCTGTGTTCTGTTATATAGGTTGTCCCCTAGGACCTATTTACTGTCAGTTCTCCTCTTGAAAGGGAAAATTAGGATTCAAAATTGGCAGGAGAAAGTCATCTTTATTGTTGTGGTAGGTTGTCTCGTTAGAAATGTGAAGCTAGTCCTGTAATTTCAGGTGCTGCTCAGAGCAGACAATATAGAGATACTAGGAACGGATTGGAACATTTTTTTGGAGAGGGGAAATACCCCTTACCCTATCTTATCATGAGTATATCACAACGAAAAGCAACTAAGCAAGCACCTCAGTCACCTCCAGCTGGTCTGATTGCTCCTCTGTGGTTGCATCCCAGAACACGGAACACAACTCCCGCTGGAGATGGAGGAGTGGGCAGCCGCCTCCGCTGTAGCGAGAGCAAGGTCTTGCCGCAGGTCGCTCAGTCCAGTTTGTGGAACAGGACGTGAAAATCCCAGCCAGCTCTCAAGATGCCTCGGCTTTCCCTCTGCTGCTGTGCTTTTTTCCATGAGCCATTACACCGTAGCTCAGCTTGACAGCAAGCCTGGTGTATTTCTTCTTCCTTTGCTCAGCCTCAAACATAGATAGAAGTGGTGGGATGGCAGGGGGGAAGCCCTGCTGACTTTCGGCTGCTGGCTTTCCTCCTGTCCTTCACCCTGGTCACACTCAGCTGGGTAGGGGAGGGAGATGGGGGAAAAAATGCAGTCCCTGGTGACTCTGAGCTGCTCTGACCCCATCAGTTAACAGACCAAGGGCAACCTGGCTTAGTGCTGAGCTGGTGACCTCCAGAGAGAAGAGCAAAAAATGTAGAGTCTGCCTTAGACAGGAGAGCAGGAAAGCAGTTTCAGTTCGTATCTTGTGACTTGCACTGTTTTACCCTCCTCGCTTTACACTGGCGTAAATGCTGACATGTCTTACCAGACAAGGAAAATCAGAACTTTCTCTCACAACAGCAACTCCTTGTTTAAAATGAGTTACTAAAAAAAATATGACAAGCAGAAGGGATGGTAGGAGAATATTCTTCTGCTATTCTGTATGTCAATGAACTGTGCCATTTATGAATCGGTACCCTAAAAGCAAAAGCACCAAAGGCACTAGAAGGAAATTAATGTCCAGAATGACAAAAAGACAGCGTGAATTTTCTTTGAATGTGTGACATCCTTAGACCTGTGAAGCTTTGTAATCAGTTTCCTTTTATTTTATTTTTATTTTTAAGTTTTTCCTTAGGCAGATCTTGGCACAGCTGAATTAACTTGTTTGAATGCTTTCAGACTTTTATTTCAATGCTGTAGATTGGTTAAAATGAAGGAGTTGTGCAGAGTAGTCATGCTTTAAGATAGCCTTTACAGGCAAGCAGATCTTTATTGAACAAGATTATATCTCTATACCCTGTCATTATTACTGTATATGCATTTCCCATGTGTATGCTTTTGTCTTTGCAGACAAGGTCACTATAATATTACAAATCCTCTTGGAAGTCATCCCATCAGAGGAAGACCAGAAATCATGATCTTGGTGTACAACTTTTTGGCTTGATGTTTCATTTCGACCGGAGGAAGAGGATTGGGAGACTTCTCCTCCTACCTAAAGTTCTGCAAAGTAGAGGAACAAGTCACAGCTGGGACAGCTACCGAGCAAGTCAGCTACCAGAACTGTATTTTTATGACACTGCAAGATTTTTCTTTTTTTATTTGGTTGGTTTATATGTAGAAAGCAAGAGCTTGTGCTACAAGGGAACTAACGTCTTCACTATTTCTTTTGTTGCAGCGTCATTTTTTTTTAACAAAACTGTAGGTTTGTCAAACTAGCATTTTGGTTGCGTTGTCACTGAAAATAGGTTTAAGCAATGTGTAATAGCTGGGTGTACTGTGAAGAGTGTGTCCTGCTTGTTGTCCCTGAAGAACCCAACTCTCACCAGAGAAAGGGTGAGATAAAGCCCTGCTGAGTCCCACTTACCAATGTTCTTCCCGTCACTCCATTTGGCAGCTTGATTTGATGTCTTTTGGCTCACCAGGAGACCCAGCACACGGATGCAGAAGCACAAGAGTTTCCCCACCTTTTTGTGGTGGCAAGTAACAAGTTCCTTTCATTCCAGAGATGTTGTATTATAGTCAATGGGGGAAGTCTTCTGGGAACTAATGTTTCTGCCAGTGGGGCAGGACCAGTAATTTCACACACGTTAGGTTTTCTACCAGTTCAAGTTTCTACACTAAATTTTCTAAAGTTTTCTGGAAATTACTATGTTTTTTACTAGTGTTTGTGTACATATGTAAAGGAAACTGACTAATCGCCTTTAAACGAGTTCAAACATTTTAGTGCAACCTCTGTTGCTGTATGAGTATTATCTGTCTGGAAGCATAGGGACCTGAAGTTTTCAGAGAGGCAAACCTGATTATAAGATTTTACATTATTGTTGGTGGGCAGAAATGTGGGAATACTGTATAGACATGGCAATAAATGCAGTACCTTTTTGTGCATAAGGTAGAGTGCAAGCTACAGCAGATATGTTGACTTGAGTAAGATATGTGCCTAGTCTGTGGGCTTTTCATTCAAGCATACCCCAATTAACTGAGCTTTGAAACACCGAGGAACAGCTTCTCTGCCAACGTTGTCTTCCTAGTTTTATCTCGGCAGAAACAGAGAAAGGCTGTCAAAACTAAGCAAATCAAACAAAATTCGTCTTCAGAATTATGTTTGGGCTGAGAATTTGCTCAAATACGAGCTCTTTTTAAGATAATTGTAGATAAAGAAAATTTTTAATGCTTAGAAATTCAGTTTTATGCTGTTAGTCAAAGACTACTCAACCTTAAGATTAAGGGCTTTTAATCACTCCATTAAGAATATAATGCTTAAATATTCAATGCACTACTTTGAGCTGTTTTCTATCAGCAAGTCATATGTTTCATGAAACTTTTGTGGAACTAAGCAACGTGAAACTTCCTAAATTGGGAGAAGAGCACAACTGGTAGCCAGACCACTACAGTAAAGGGAGACTGTGTTGTATATGTGTTGTACATATTCAGAATATCTACCTTGCTAAGGGTGTACAGTAAAATGTCTTGTATTTCTATGATGGCATTTAATAGAAATGGGGAAATGGGAGTTACTGGTTGTGTAGAAAAGCAGTAATTTAATACACAGAAAACATTTTGTAAACAACCGTTTTCTTTAAGTGTTTTTTGTTTACACTAACTTAAAGTATTATCTGAAATTTTTTTAGGCAAACGTGTTGAGAGAGATTTTTATGTTAACAGTGCGTGTGTTTCATTACTATTTCCATTCTGGTCAGAATTCTGCTTTTGAGGCCATCTCCTGCCATCCCAAATCATGAGGGTTTGGCCTTGTGTTATCATGGAGCATCTTCAGAGCACCCAAACTGCATTTCTCTCTGATAAAAATAAACTGCCTGGTGCCTTGTGGAAGGGTACCCAACACGCTCCTCCGCTAAGGGATGCTGTGGGCATGGGGTCCCACCAGCGCTAGTCCGGAGCAAAACCTCCTGAACATCTGATGGTGTGGGTGCCAGGTTTTCAGCACCAACTCTTTCATTCCACGTATTCGCTCCTGTCGTGCCATATTACTTGAATGTTTAAGTGTTAACTTGTAGAAATAAAGAGGCTCTGTAAATATAACTGGATGTTGCTTTATTTTCCCGTCGTGGACTTTAAAGTTTAGAAATGTTTCTGAAGTTTGATTCAGTGACCATATTTTACTAGTTTTGTTTAATATAAAGAGTTCATTTGTCCCAAGGGGAAACCCTACGACTCGTAGATTTCAGAAGCTGTATACTTTTGGAAGAAAACAAAAATTACCTGCAGAACAAAAAGCTATATTTTGGAAAATGCACGAGGGTTCTAATTTTGGGTTTCATTTCTTCAGCATGTACAGTCATAACACACAATACTGTAATTGAGTTTTCACCATGTTATAAAAGTCAGTATCAAGGACATTTATTACACCTGGAATTGAAACATATCCTCACCAATGAAGGAAAAACAGGTTACAAATTTTTTATAAATAATTCAGTTATATTTTGAGACTTTCTCAAGAGTATTGTCTTCAAAGTCATAAATGAAATTATTTTAAAGTAAAGGATAAGCTTTATACATAATTTTTTTTTATTAGAGCCAGGAATAGCCAGGCCAGTGAGACTACTGCTGTGGAAAACTTTAGTGATCCTTAATTTTTTAAAATTTTTTTCCTTGCTCTTTGCACCTTTTTATCAAGTGGCTTCTGTCAGAACATTTGTTTCTTTTTGTTCAGGTGGATACTACTGTTTTTCTTCTTTGAATCTGTTGCTTTTCTGTGGTATAGGTGGAAGCATCACCAAAGGCAACAAAAAAGAACATTTTGTGTGAGTAGTGAATCCTGACGAGGTCTAGTACAGCCCCTCTTAGAGTTCAGCATCTGAAGCCTCTGAAGATGCTGACCTGCCTTTGCACTTCCTGAGCCAGACTGCTGCGTCGCCTTAAGGTGTGGTTTTATCAGAGAGGCACGCTGTGATTTCTGAAGCCTGCTCCCAGCTCTGCATGGGCACAGCCCGGCCGACCTCTTCTCTGGTGCTGCAGGTCCGTCCCTGCCATCCCTTCTCAGCCCAGGAGTCTGCCGTGGCTTTCGAGGGGCTATCGGGCGGGAGCCAGAGGGTCCCCTCTTCCTTCCAGACAGCAGAAATACATTCCTTGTCAGAACCTAGAGTTTTCAAGATTTGTTTCTACTACTCCAGGTAATCACCTTTATACATAGGAATCAAAGCAGGTGAGACAAAATCTCATTTATTTTTTTTTAAAAATGAGATGCTTGTGATCTGATAAAATCCGGGTTGTGTATGTCATGTGAAATACTTCTAGATGCACCCTAGAGCTTTTCATAGGTCTTGTGCCCCTTTGGTGTCGTTCTACATGGACATTTTTGGCACAAGGCAAAAACATGCTGAGGTCTTCGGCATGATTCGCAGCTGTAAAGTTTCGGGGGTGTTTGGCTTTGCGAAGCGGCAATGCTGATGGGCAGCACCTTCTCAGGGACGCCGTGGCCTCGGAGCAAAGACGCTTTGACACGATGCCTGTCCCCAGCTACGGACCATTCAGTAAATGGTTGCTGAAGACATCATACTAGGAACATATGCAGTGTTTTTATTACCTAGTTCTACAGAAAGTTACAGAGTTCTTTGGGTTCTTTAATTGGTCAAGCACAAATGATCAGAAGTTGTTATAACATAGATAATTTTTGCTCTATTGCAGATAAGGAATGAAAACTTGCATTTGAAATCTTTGTGAATGTTTTCAGAAATGAGTAGGCAACAGTACTAAACTCAAGTACATAACTCAAGTTATGTATTCATAATATTGCATAGTAGTATGCTTAGGCTTTACTATGTACTAGCCTTTTGTTGCATTTGTGTATGTATTTTACCTGTAGGTTTTAATGGTAAAGTGTATGCCTGCTTTGCATTTAAGTCCTTATGACTTTGTCAATCAGCTCCTAGGCTGCAGTGGTTTGCCGTACAGTGTTTTAAGTTAACCTGCATTGATTTTGGTCTGCCTTAAAATACTGCACCATCAATCACAGTGGTTTAGGAGCTGGCTATGAAGCCCTCTCCATGGTGGAGAAAGAGGTAGGTAGCTCAGAGCTGCAACCTCAGCAGCTAAATATCTAATATTTCATAGGAATTTGTGTATATATATGTATTTCTGTTATATTATTATGAGAAAACTTCTAAGTACTTTTGGAAAAGCCATTCAAAATGAAGCAGCTGTCATAACTTATGCTAATGTAAAAATTTTTGGGTACTTTTTACTCCCTATAAAGTTTTACTTATTTTTACTCTCACTTCAAAATTTGTCTTGTAATGCTAGTGTAAATAACACAAGCGTTTAATCTGATTTCATATAAATATGCATCTGATTGGCACAATAAATTCAGCGTCAAGTTGGCCTAGAGAAAGAAACCTCTACCTCCAGAATTTTTGCTTCAAGGATGTGTATCAGGATCCAGACAGGTTTTAATCGGTATAGGTCTCTAGAAAAACAGGTGTTATTTTTTTTGTTCAGGAGGAAGTAGATATTTAATTTTCCTAACATACCAGTCATTGTGTTTAATGACCAGCAGGGCACAGATGGCTCATGTATCAGAGCCTGTAGCAGGGAACACACTGAAATCTGGTGCAAAAGGTGTAGTTTATGTCTGGAAGGCATGTGGATGACCGAGTCAGTCATTTTGATCCCAGGAGGTAAGCGGTGGGGGGTCATACGGGACAATGTGTGGTAACCCCTGTTTGGTTTCAGGGCTGCTGTCGCCTACGACCAGAGCTTTTTCTGCAGCGGCCACAGTGTCTGCATGGCTGCTGCCCCAGGTAAGGCCAGCAGCAAGCACCAGTTCACGGGCACTCTGTGTAGGCTCTGTAAAGCTGGTTTTTTTTTTTCTGCAAGCCTCCTAAAAGCGGTGGTGACAGCCATCCTAATAAAGCGTGCTTCTGCCCATGCCAGCCACACCCGGCAAAATGATGCTGAGTTT